CACATCTCTGATCTCTAGATCCCCCACAGTTTCTACCCCATGAGCAGTTAGGGCCCGCAACTCCACGAAGTACCCCTCATCCGTGTCTTGCCAAGATCTGGAGAGTCGCTTGAGTGACACCTCCATTCGCGCTAGTGTTGGATCGCCCCACAGAAAAATTTTCTTACTGCCCCTCGTGAAAGACATGGTCAAGGCCGGCCAATCGGTCTCCATCTTCCCCATGGACTGGAGCCACTTCATTCCCAATACCACATCCAAGTCGTTTAACTCAATTGGGAGAAAATCTTCTACAACGGTCACCTCTGGCAGCTCCATCACTACTCCACAACAGATCCCTTGCCCCTTAACCGCTTCTCCTGATCCCATCACAATACCATAGTTATATGTTTCGGATTGAGGAATTTTCAATTCCTTGACCAGCCTTATGGAGATGAAATTATGGGTGGCTCCACAATCTAGGAGGACCACCACCTCGTGGCCTTGCAAGGTCCCTTTTAGCTTGATCATTCCGGGCGTCGTCAACCCTACTATGGTGTTCAAACGGCACATCACTGCCTTTCCCTTTTCCTCTGTCCGCTCTAGTTCTTCCAGCTCCGGTTCTACTTCCTCCAACTCRGCCTCATCTCCGTCGTGCACAACGATCACACGGAGTTGCTGGTTTTTACATCGATGCCCCACGGTAAACTTCTCTTCACATTTGAAGCAGAGTCCCCTCTCTCTTCGTTTACGATATTCCTCCTCCGTCAATCGTTTATAGGTGTGCTCCTTCCTGGCCACTGGAGTTACACCGGGAGTCGTTGCCGGGGTTGGTTTGTTCAACGTTATCGTGCGAGTGGGTTGGGCTTCAGTGATTCTCACCGTTGGCTTCCCTCCCATGGCACCCACCTTCGCATTACGATCTACCGCTCCTTCCCCTGCCTCCTGGACCGTTGTGGCTATGTCCTCGATCAAGAGAGCTCGCTTCATAATCTGTTCCAATCCTATGGGTTCCGTCGACAGTACTTCCGCACGAACCACAGGATCCAATCCATTTAAGAAGGCACACTCCAATACCTCGTCTGTAACTGTCTCTTATACACATCTCATTGCGGATTTGAGCTTTTGGAAAGCTGCTGTTGCCTGTTCACTCC